TATACAATAAAAATTAAAGTATCCATTGAATTCAGTAAAACAGCATCACACTGGAAAAAATAGTCAAGCCCAGCTGGCATGACTCAGTGATTGAGCATCGACCTATGAGCCAGGAGATCATGGTTTGATTCCTGGTCAGGGCACATGCCCAGGTTGCAGGCTCAGTCCCCAGGGTGAGGCATGCAGGAAGCAGCCCATCAATGATTCTCTCTTATCATTGATGTTTCTATCTATCCCTCTCTTAAATAAATAAAAATAAATTTTAAAAAATAGTCATAAAATTAGCTCTTAATCTTTTCTGGGGACAGAGAAGCAGAAGAAAATGAGATTAAAATTAAAAATCCACTGCCCCAAACAGGGTAAAGGTGAGACAATCATTTATTTATTAGACAGGGCAGGTCATTAAAAGAGAGGAAACATATTCAAAAGAATGTGCTTTTCTTGTGTTATAGGCACTGATGCTCACAACAAACAACACTGCTCAATACGTCATGGAAACAGGCCACATAGAGCCAAGAAGATGCTGTCATGCCACTGAAAAATAAGCTACACTGCTTAGGAAACAATCCCTAAGGCAGTGGTTCTCAACCTTGGCTGCACATTAGAATCACCTGGGAATCTTTTCAAAATCCTGATTTCTGGGCCTCATCCTCTGGAAATTCTGTTTCTTTCTTACTAATGTTGTGGCCCCACCCCATAATAAAGAAACAGAATTTCCGGAGGATGAGGACCAGAAATCAGGATTTTAAAAAGATTCCCAGGTGATTCTAATGTGCAGCCAAGGATGAGAACCACTGGGTTACAGAGAGCTCCAATTCACTGTTCTACATTTTCTAGAGCTGAGCCATTAGCTCATAGCATTTGGCTGGTTCCCTGGTTACTAAGAAGTGAGTCTTCCCATATTCTAGAGAGCTTTCAATAGTTCAGACTTCTGAATGTCACTGAAATCAGTCATCTGCAGGCTGAATTAGCTTACATTACTACATTTTTGGGACTTACCCTAGGTCGGAGGTGGGGACTGTCTTGCCCATGGACTGAGCCGTATAAGGCCCACAAAATCACTTGGTCTGGCCCTGCCAAGGCATTGGGGGTGAGTTAATTAAATGTTTAACCAAATATAACAGGCTAATTTTTAAGTTGATAATTTTGTATGGCCCGCGAATGATGTTATAAATACCCAAATGGCCCTTGGCAGAAAAAAGGTTCCCCACCCCTACCCTAGGTAGTCATGGACTGTCTCATAGTATAAATAAAATTTGGACCTAACCTATTTAGCCCTGTTACAATGCACCTGAATCACTTAAGTTCGATGGTACATACTTGAAAAAGATAGCAGAAATTCACTGGAGGAAAGTAAAGAAATTCGGGAAGTTCACCTGGCCCTGAGTATATAAATAAGCTGCTAGCAAAGTCAGACACATTTGAAAACTATGTCAATTATTTTCCAAATTATTCGGCATCATTTTTAGCAGGACTTTACTGATTAGGCAGGCAAAGGTTTCAATATCCACTCTAGAGGCTAACCAAAATATTATAAGTAGTAGTATGTCATGAATATTTGGTTATGAGGAAAAAACTATTCAGCATGCGATTGAATGAGAAACCTGTTAGGTATCTGACATTCCGTCCTTACATCTACTGATTTTACCAACCACTTCCTTTCACAGTAGTCACAGTTCTTAAGATGACAAGTTCTCATTCCACATAGGACAAAAACCTATTTAGGAAGCCACTCATGAAAGACCAGATATTATATGAATTCATTTTTAGTAAATGACCAGAAGGCAAATCATAGAGATTGAAAGTAGATTAGTGGTTGCTTGGGGCTGGGAGGCATTGGGAGAAAATGAAATATGAATGCTTAAAAGATAGAGGGTTCCTTTTTGGGGTGATGACAATGTTCTCAAATTGACTGTAGTCATGGTTGCACAACTTGTGACTATATTATAAAACCACTGAATTATACCTTTTAAATGGCTGAATTGTAAGGTATGTGAATTATATCTTAATAACGTTCTTATAAAAACATATTAGGAAGGGAAGACAGTCCCAAGAGAACATGAGGCTCTTACGAATCCAGTCATATCTGAAACAGCATACGAGCTGATATATAAGGAACTGGTTTCTCACACACTATTTTGATTTGATTATCACCACTTTTAACCCCTGACTTAACATTTTTAACTAATTTCTAAATTATTTTAGGTTATCATAAGATTTATAATATTGTTCTCCTTAGAGATCATAGTCAGTGTTTCACAGAAAGACTAGGTTGGCAAAACAAAGCTAAACAAAACAATGAAAACCCAATAAAAAAAATAATCACCTGCTTTGGGGCTATGCATTTTACCAGGCAGAATAGAAGAGCTGAGGCTCATTCCTAAAAGAAAAAATGCCATCAAATGTAAGGGCATCATGTCTCTTGCCTAAAGCACATTTCCTTTTCAAATCTGCATAGATATTCCCTTTACATCTACACAGTTCAACATAAGCCATATTTACATACCTGTAGAATTCAATAAAATCAATGTTCTCTACAAAGAAATGTTAAGCTTTCTGCAGATCAAAGAGCTAGCCAAATTTCCTTAAAACTAAAATTACGGCTTCTAAAAAGCACTATTCTGTATCTTCAGCCTCATAAAATTAAATTACTATTTCTAAAAAAGTTCTACTCTGTATAAACATACCATGATGGTGGAAAACTCTAAGCCTGCTACAAGTCAAAAGCTACAAAACAATTTCTAAAAAAATGACCTGAATTAAAAATATATATATTAGCTCCAAATATTTAGAACATATTGGACCAAATTTCTTTGAAGTCTACCTTTAACAAGAAATTTATTTTTACTAATTCACTAGTGTAATATGCAATAAAGAAAGACTTTGCATAAGTTAAACTGGCTAATTACAAGTAATCAGTTTTCCTCAGTGATTACTATTCCTCTGCATAGGCAGGGTAATTAAATCACAAAGGGTCTTTTTGGTGTGTCTTCAACTATTCTTACACTACATAATCAATTAGGGAAATTTTTACAGTTAAAGAGAACACAAGTAGCTTTACAGGAAGTTGAGTGTGTTAAATATACATGTTTGTTATGAAAAAGAATTTCTGACACAAAAATTGCTCACTGCACAGAGAAGCCTAGAGAAGTGATAAAACAAGACAGCTGATGTTAGATGGTACATGGGAGCCGGGTGGAGTGAGAAGTCATAGATAAATTAAAAACTGGCAAGTATCTGTTGAAGCAGAGCCACTTTTTAGGGGGCATAAGAAAAAAATGATGTCACCTTTTTAAATCGCTTTAGAGAAGCCAATTTGTTGTTAAGAAATGAAGACCAAATTTTAAAAAAAGAAATGAAGACCATTTTATTACCATTAATGCTTCAAAATGATTCCAAAAGGATCCTAAATACTGTAGTGAAGAGAAATCTAAAAAAAAATAATTACAAAAACCCCACACACATTTTTTCCAAAGAAATGTGTTCAAAACAGTTACTCTTAAAGACAGAGAGAGATTCCACACAGAAGAGGAGGAGACAGTGTGATCACAGAGACAAAAGAGGGAGTGATGTGGTCACAAGCCAAGGGATGCTCAGAGGCATCAGAAGCTGCAAGGGCCAAGGAACAGATTCTCCCCTAGGGCGTTTGGCGGGGGTACAACCCTGCTGACACCTTGATTTTGGACTTCCAGGCTTCAAAACTGTGAGAGAATAAATTTCTGTTGTTTTTTTTTTTTAAAAAAAAAACAGTGACTCTTAAAAAAGATGTCACTTTGTTGTAAATGAAAAAAAGAATTCTCACTATGAAAGATCAAGGGCTCCTTTCACAAATAATTTATACTGCATCAATAACTTGATGTTCACTGCAGCACTATTTACAATCTATATATGTAAAAGTCCAGCAACCGAATGATGGAATGACCAGACCAACCTGTCGACCAGTCACTGTGTCGTGCACTGACCACCAGGGGGCAGATGCTCAATGCAGGAGCTGCCCCCTGGTGGTCAGTGTGCTCCCACAGTGGGAGTGCTGTTTGGCTAACTGGGATGAGTGGCTGCTCCCGCAGTGGGAGCAGCCGCTAGCAGGCCCAGGGTGAGGCCGAGTCTCTGTACCTATCGAATACCTGAGACAATCTCAAGAGGGGACGTGACTGTGGACCCCCCGGGGAGGCTATCCTGATGGCTGAGGATCCTGGAGCACAGCTGCCCTGAACTCCCCGATGGTGTCACCTACCTGGCATCACACATCAAGGACATTCACCTAGTGGCTTTGGGGTGCACAGCTCTCAGTCAGGTTCCTCCAGGATATAGAACACACCTTTACCCAAGACATTACCCCGAAATATCAGCTCAGAGAGCGGGTCCACAGCCACTCAGCTGACCGAGATGAGTGGCGCTACGATAGTGGGCCGATTCCGCAGGCTACTCCCCCCACCAGTGCACAAATCCGTGTGCCCGGCCTTTAGTAGCCAAGATGTGGAAACAGCCCAAATGCCCATCAGTAGATGAGTGGATAAAAAAGCTATGGTTCATTTACAAGTGTATTACTAGTTGGTAGTAAAAAGAAGGAAATCTTGCCTTTTGTGACAGCATGGATAGACGTGGAGAGTATTATGCTAAGTAAAATAAGCCAGTCAGAGAAAGACAAGAACCATATTATTTCACTTATATGTGCAATTTAATGAACAAAATAAACTAAGAACCAAAATAGAAACAAACTCATAGATACAGAGAACAAATTGACAGCTGTCAGAAGGGAGGGGGGTTGGAGGGCTAGGTGAAAAAGGTGAAAGGATTAAACAAAAAGAAAACTCAAAGACACAGACAACAGTATGGTGATTACCAGAGGGTGAGTGGGGTGAGGGAAGATAGAAGAGGATAAAAAGGGTATAAATGGTAATGGAAAGAGACTTGACTTGGGGTGGTGAACACACAATACAATATACAGATGATACATTATAAAATTGTACACCTGAAACTTATATAATTTTATTAACCAATGTCACCCCAATAAATTCAATTAAAAAAATAAATAAATCTTGAAATTCTCCAAAAAAAATAATTTGATTACAGTGTACAAACAAGGGCCACAGACTTGTTTTAGTTAGATCTAAAAGATCAATATAAATACTTATGGGGGGAGTGTTTTATACTCCAAACTCCAATATTCCAACTCTGTGTCCCATACTGTTATGATTTGTAAAAATCTTAACGACGCAGGGATTCAAGTTTTCGTAACTTCAACGATGTGTTAGAGGACAATGCATCTTGATTTGAAGGATTTGTTGTGTCTGAAGGCCGAAACAGTACTCTACCACGATGATTGAATACATAAAACGATGGGTGATTCCTTAATGTGTCAAATGTCCTTGAAAGAAAAAAAAAAGCAGCAATTTTAGACAAATCCTTATAAGAAGCCCATTTGAAAATAAGCAGGCTTCTGGTGAATTTGCTATTGGTTATATTTAAAACTATGTTTAAATTCATGAAACCAGATTATAAATGGTAATCATCCTGTATCTCATTTCTTTCTTGTACAAGGAAAATAAAAAACCTGGAAAAGCAATATATAACCATATAATTTTTCATTCAGCCAGTCCTTCCAGTATGCCTATGAATAACATAAGTAGTTACTCAACTTTAATCACCTCTGTAGATCTAACCTAAGCCCATGCCAAATAGTCTTTTTCAAAAACCAGTACAGAGATTGTACCTTTGATTAGCCTCATTTGGCCATCACTATCCAAGTCCTATGATCATCTGAAAGACCTGTTTCCTAAACATAGTTCAAAGACAACAAAAAAATTCCTTAAATTTCTTTGGTCTTTCTGAACCTGCTGTTGTCCAAATTCATATATTTACCACCTAATAAAATCATATTTTCCTTCCACCTACTTAATGCCTTTCTGTTTTACTTCTTTTTTAAAAAATATATTCTTATTGACTTCAGAGAGGAAAGCAGAGAGAGAGAAACAATGATGAGAATCATTGATCGGTTGCCTCCCACATGCCCCCTACTGGGGATTGAGCCCAAAACCTGGGCATGTGTCCTTGACTGGAATCGAACCCAGAACCCTTCAGTCTGCAAGCCGATGTTCCATCCACAGAGCCAAACCAGCCAGGGCTACTTCTTTCTTTCCTGGCCTTTGCCGGTGATTCTTAGTAGACTCTTTGTACCGTATTTGCCGGCGTATAAGACGATTTTTTGGCCCTGAAAAATATGCCTCCAAGTGGGGGGTCGTCTTATACGCCAGGTACACTTCAGATAGACTGCCCATAGTGCTTGCCCCGTGCCATAGTGGCCTCCCGATGCCCGCCCACTTCATTCCACATACCGTTCAGGCATCAGCAGCGCTGCTGGGTGTATGCTCGGCTGTTATGCGATTTTGCGAGTGTGGTAAATTCGGGTTACCGTATATTTCTTTACATATGCATTGAAGATTCGCGATTTTGCGCTATCATGGTGCCTGTTAGAATGTTGAAGAGCTCGCACTTGCGCACTAGTGAGGTCCCAGGGAGATGCTGATGCAAGGGTGGACCAGACTGCTATAGTGACAGGGCGGGCAAACAGGGAGCAGGGACCAATCAAATCAGGCTTTGTATACAGCCAACAGCCAACCACAATACTGCCCCATTGTACAGTACAGCATAGAAAATGTCGACCAGTCAAACCCCTATCATCCCTATCATGGCACCAAGATGTCGTTGATGAACTTTTAATATCAGATGATGAAGAGGAGTTTGAAGGCTTTTAAGGTGAAACTGTCACGCCAGCAAACTTGCTAGGGCCTTGCCCGGCACTTGCTCTCTCCCTCTATTTGTTATCTTACTTCTATCATTGACAGTCCCTCTAGGTTGTGGGCTGCTTGCCTGTGTTCCTGAGAAGCATCTACGGTACCAGTCTATAGAGTGTGTTTTCTTTAGTGAATTACCGGTATGTTTACCGGTAATAAACTTGCACTGTTTTATGTATATGTTTGATTACATACAGCCTTGTGACAGTTTTCCTGCATGTCATAAGCATTTGAATATAAATTAAAACGTTAAAATCAAATCTGATATTGTTTTACCTTTTATTTGGTGTGTGGAAGGCGTGCGGAAGAGGGGGTAGTCTTATACGGCGAGTATATAACAAACTCTGTATTTTGAGTGGAAATGTTAGGGGGTCGTCTTATACGCCCAGTCGTCTTATACGCCGGCAAATACGGTAAGAACAGTAGTGGGTGATTACAGTGGCGTATCATTTCTTCTTCTCCAATGGGAGATATGTGGTCTAATAAAGTTCATAATCACCTAAGTGTATGGCTTTTGGTGTTGGTTTGTTTCTAAAACAGGAAGTCTGAGATGTGACTATTTAAAATGAAAGATTTGCTTTTCCTATTATTATACAGGCAGCTGACCCACAGCTCCCAAATCATATAATAAGACACCATGAAAAATTTGACTTTAAAATGATAAATAAAAAATAAATAAATAAATAAAAATAAAATGTAAATAAAAAGAGGTTGATTTTCCTCTAACACATAAATGTTTATTGTGAATCCTCACAAGAAAATATAATAAAAGGTTAAATTTTCCAGATTAAAGAAGTGGGTAAAGTTCAGAGATGGAAATGAACAAAGCTAAAGGATGATTTTATAAAAGAAATATTGCCCTGGCTGGTGTGGCTCAGTTGGTTGGGCATTATCCCATGCACTGAAAGACTGCCAGTTCAATTCCCCTTCATGGCACCAGGTTGCAGGTGGGGACATGCAGGAGGCAGCTGATCAATGTTTCACTTTCACATTGGTGTTTCTACCCTCCATCTCGCTCTAAAAATCAATAAAAAAGTCTTTTAAAAAGAAATATTGACAAGAAAAGCGAGCAAAGTTCGCGAAAATAGCTTAGAAGAAATACAGGCGAAAAAAGAAAGCAGAATAATAAATATACTTTAATCCAGGGGTAGAAAAGGGCCTGAGAACAGAGTTTATATCACAGATTAGGTTCAAGTAATAAAGGAAACAGAAAATCCCTTATTCTTCCAAAGATAGAGCTAAGTCAGAGGACAAAAGAGGAAAATAGGAAGGAAGGAGAGGAAAGCAAAGAGAAGGAAGGAGACAGAAGGAAGGAAAAAAAATTTTCTGAGGGAATATCTTCCTATATATCTATTTCCATCCACCTATCTATCCAAACAACCAATAAGTAATTTTAGGCAAACACAACATCTTATTCTAATATCAACAGTCTGTCATTCAACTTCCATTTTTCCTATCATACCAAACAGTGCCTCAATATTTTTATTTCATTACACAGACATATTGTATAATCAAAAGGTAAAAACCAACTTTTAAGTACCAGAACACATACATTTATGTAAATGAAGCAAAACTCTTAAGAAATTAAATGCTTACTAAAAGGGGAAAACTTACTTATTTTTTAGTTCTGAAGTGGCATCCATGTCCTTAAACTCCCCTGCAATATGAACTATACCATAACAGGTAACCGCAAAGGCCAGAAGTGTCTGAAGAACTATCTGTGAGCATAAAGATTAAAGATTACTAAATACAAGTATTATTACAAACCTTTACAATTTTATCTCTATGAAATTTTAGCTTCTAACAGGTATTTCTCCCAGATCCTATCAAGGAGTCAATTCTCAGGTTAAGGATTTTGACTTAAACACTATAAAATCTGTAAATTCTGTGGATTGGCTACAAAAATACTTGTGGGTTTTGCTCAAATAGCAAAAACAGGTACTGAGCCCTAGCCAGCTTGGCTCAGTGGATAGAGCGTTGGACTGTGGACTGAAGGGTCCTGGGTTAGAGTCTGGTCAAGGGCACATGCCTGGGTTGCGGGCTTGATCCCCAGTAGGGAGCGTGCAGGAGGCAGCTAATCGGGGGTCTCTCTTATCATTGATGATTCTATCTCTCTCTCCCTCTCCTTTCCTCTCTGAAATCAATAAAAATATATTTAAAAAAACAGGTACTGAGCCATTCAGAACTCAGTTATCAACTACTATTTGCTTCCAAAAGCAACTAAGAATTTTAATGTATTATTGTTAAATATCATCCTATATAGTAAAAGGCTAATATGCAAATCAACCAAATGCGGAACAACCAGTTGCTATGATGCACACACTCCACCAGGGGGCAAACGCTCAATGCAGGAGCTGCCCCCTGGTGGTCAGTGCACTCCCACAGGGGAAGCACGGCTCAGCCAGAAGCCAGGCTCACAGCTGGTGAGCGCAGTGGTAGTGGCAGGAGCCTCTCCCACCTCCGTGGCAATGCTAAGGACCACTCGGGGGAGTGGGCCTAAGCCAGCAGGCTGACATACC